TGCTTTTTCTGCTTTGTTCTTTGTTGTCTCTGGAAGGCAGAAAAGCTTGCGCCTCGTGCCTTTAATCGTCTTTTTTGATAACTGATCAAGAGAAGTTTATCAAAAAAAAAAAACCTGATCAAGGGAAGCAGGCAATAGTGTCGGCGACATTTACAGGAACTTACGGTGTGCTCCAACCCAACCTTCAAATACCACCCCCGTTAATTGCGGGTGTACGTGAGGACAATTTTGTCGTGCATCACGAGGTCCTTTAAAAACAATATTTCCGTTTTTTCTAAGAAGACCCTGGCAATAGTTGATTGGTGCACGCAAATCTATAATAAGTCCCACATCTTTTAAATTCAACCAAAAGCAGCATCATTCCATGTATTTATCAAACTTGATTTCTCTCCAATTATTTTTTTTCCCACTTTCTTTCTATTTACTTTCTCAATCTTCGGATCCACATTTGAATGGTTATAATTTAACAATTTATAATTTTTTTATTTTTTATTTTATTAAATCCTAACCGTTCAAAATTTAATATAAGAGTTGAGATGATGAGTGGAAAGAAGCCACGTCCGTATTTAGTTGGCAAAAAAAAAAAAAGAAATACTTGTTTCAAAGATGGGAAGTTCCTTCTTCTTTGTAAATTCTTCGCCTGCTGTTTCCGTAAATTTGGGACATTATCACCTCTCATTCATGCTAGTCAATGTAAACATAAAAATTAGTTTTTTTTTTTTCAGTCTCAATTCAATGCTACGGGGAAGAGTGCATCTTTAAATGTCCAAGGAAGGGATGGATAATTTAGATTTTTATTAGGGTATTTTTTGAAAACAAATATTAATTAGTTATTCTCAGAAATACTTCTATGTATTAGGAGTTAGGACCACAAAAATCTCTTTGCAAAGGCATGCAACGTCGGCCAGATTTTGGATGGTTAATTACTTTTTGTTTTTTTTTTTTTTGGTTTTTGGTCATGGATGGTTATTTACTTTCAAAGACATTGGAACCCACCCGTTAATGAACTTCTTCTTCTCGTATCTGTTTCCCCATGATTCTCTAGCATTTGCGCTTGTCGGCGTTATAAGCACTTCTTCGAGCCCATAATACTAAGAAACTTTCAACAACGTATCGTACATATTAAAAAATTATTTTTAAAATATTATGACAAATTGATCTAATTTTGCTATTATTCATAACTAAAACCTACAATTTCTCATGCATAATTACTCAGCAGACATTGACCAACACAAGGATAAAAATGCCAATAATATTGCTTGCAGCTGCAAAATTTTCTATATCTTGTACTAAGAATAACATGTAAAAAATGTCATGCATTATGATACGAAGGGAGTCGGCTTCTCTCCTTTGAAAAAAGCCTCCTCTCTCCTTTGAGACAAAAGAAAATTTAGACTATCTAAATTTAATATATTTTTTTATTTTTTTAAATTAAAAAATATACAAAAATTATAAAATTTTTTTAATAAATATACTAATCAATCTGACAGTCCATATTTAATATAGATGCTCCAAATTTAATATAAAAAATTTAAATTAATTTTTTTAGATATATTATAAATAGTGTAAATATATTCTGAACAGAATAGTAAATTTATTAAATAAATTTAATATTAATTTTAGACCTTTTATATTAAATCTGAACTGTCAGATTGATAAATATATTTATTAACAAATTTACAATTTTATATGTTTTTAAATTTAAAAATATAAATAAAAAATAAAAATAAAATTATTAAGTGTGGATCGTTCAGATTTTTTTCAGTCTCAAAAGAGAGGTAGAGGAGGCCTCGCCGAGACCGGTCCGAAGAAGGTATTTAACAATATTTTTAATATATGATAGCAAGGTACTGGAGATATATTATTAATTAATCATACTGCTACACTGTTTTATGCCGAGACCGATCCGAAGATGGTATTTAACAATATTTTTAATATATGATAGCAAGGTACTGGAGATATATTATTAATTAATCATACTGCTACAGTGCATGCATAAAACATGCGTCTTGAAATATGCAAAACAGGTATTAGCACAGCTACAATCGTCACTTTTAAAATCATTCCTGGACATAAAAGCAATCGCCCATCTCTTCCATAACCATAAAACAGATCTACCAATGTGGAAGCCATGCAAGATGCAGCCAAAATAAATGTCAAAATCAAGGGCTCAAGGCAGATGGATAGATGAATCAGCAAGGCATTGCTTTTCTTGTTGTTCTGCTACGTACCCCAAGACATAACATTGAAGGAAATTGAAGCAGGGCAATAACATTCAAGGATGAAATATTACAGACACACATATATAATATATATTTTTATGGTCGTTAAGAAAAATTTTTATTTTCTTAAAATTTTGTTGAATTTTTTCAGAAGAACGAAGCACATGGAAGGGAAGTTGAAATGTGAATGCCGATGGCCTGTGATGGCGTGTGGAAAGTGACAAATTCCAGCCTGGTATATATTTGTCCTGATGGCCGCATAAAGCTCCAAACGCGCACAAATGCCTATTCCGACATTGGTACTGTTAACTCCCAAATCGCGGCAACGGAGTATCCATGTGCCTGTCATTTTATTAATGCAAGTAGGGCTGTCCAAACACTGAGCTAAATCGGGTTGGATGTCAACCTGAAATTTAGTTTAAATGAAAATTGGATTAAAATTTTCAAACTAAGAACTAGTTCAATCTTGTTAGATTAGAGACCTAGACCTAATTGGACTTGATCCACTGAGTTATTGGACCAGTCCAATTTCTTGAATCCAACTCTCTCAAAAAAAGATCCTTATATTCCCTTTCTTATTTACTTACATAAATATCATAGGCTTATTATCCATTGAGTTTTAAAGTGAGCACTATTTAATTGCACGCAGTCCTTGTTATGAGATTAATTATGTTTCTTTCAGTTTTTAGAGTATAAATAATCATCTTTCTCGCGTATTATATAAAGTCCAAAAAAGTTGTCACACTATTCAATACCTGAAAATATTACTATTGCTTTTTTTTTTTAAATTCTTGCAAGTGTTGAAGAGCTAGTTAGAGATTTGTTTTAATTATAAATGTAAGATTCTTATTTTTTTTATTTCCTGTATTTTATTTTTGTTCAAATTATTCTATAATCCTATTTTCATGCGATATGGAGAAATGACAAATGAGGCTATCAAACTTCAAAGTTCAGAGATCGAGTCTGAGGCATGTGCGTGAGGCGTGAGGATACTATTATTGAGCTCAGCTAAGTAAATTTTTTTTTGTAAATAATATAATTAATTAATATTTAACATTAAAAAAATAACCTGGACCGGGCCAAACTAATTGGTCCAAAAGATTAGTCTCTAATCTGGTTTGACCTATATGTGTGGTCTGACCTGTTTAGTCTAGTCTTTTGTTCGAGTTGAATTTTTTAAGATCGGGTCAGACCAGGTCACACGGGGTTGAATCAAACAGATCGAGTCTGAGGTTTTTTTACACAGCCCTAAATGCAAGGATTTTTTTTTAAATATAAAGTCACAGTAAAAATCAGGCAATAAAACTAAGATCAGGTCAAGTTAGAAATTATAAAGTTCTTACAATTAATAGATGGTCTATCAAATAACATAATATTAAAATATTTTTAAGAACTCTATGAATGAAAAGATGGATGCATCTATTTACTTCTTTCATGAGTATGTTATTTTAACATCAAGACCAGCATGCGTGCATGATTGACCAAGTCATCGCATATTATATTGTTAAAAATCTCTAAATTTATTAATCTTGTATGAAAACTTAATAAATTCCTAATTTTTATCTTATTAAATATACATATTTTAATAATATATTTTTTCTCACTGATATTTAAATAATATACTTTCTCTTGCTAATTTTTAATGAAAAGTAAAAGAAAAAAATTATTATTAAAAAATTAATAATATGCTTTCTTTCGCTAAAATTATTTTCTTTTTATTTTACAAATAGTATTGGATGGAGTCTATATGCCTCCAATTAAATAATGCAGCTGGTGTTGAATGGCAGCTGTTATTCACCTGCTTTTGGCGAAGATAAAAGGTAGGGCTTTTGGATTTCTTCACGCATTGGAGAAACTTCCTAACAGTGTAAAGCGCATCTTGGCCCCAAGTATGTCCTTATGAATTGTCACATCACAATTGCAAGTAGTCCATGGATATCAAACAATTCGAGAGAGAGAGGCATTGGCGCCCTACACTGGGAATTGAGAGCCAAAATCTGTTCCATTCATGTTCAGCTATCTGAAGAATAAGCTTCAGAATGGCTCCAGTCTCATGTGCAATGTCTCAGTACCACTTGTTATGCTGCATTCTGAAACCACCCAAGCTGACCTAAAGCATCCAACTCACATTTGCTATATGACATTGTGATTTCAAATACCGGGGCGTCAGTTTTGCCTTTTTTCATATCCACCCTCCTCTTTCAATACTACTGCTAGTCTGCTGCTGCTGCTATTATTATTTTGGGTTTTGGTGGCCATGAAGTGTTGCTTGCTTGAGATGTTCTAAATTATAGCAGAGCAAGAATAGCATAATCAAATGTACCCAAAAAAACACATTTATCTCAAAATGTTGAAGAAAAAATTATGATATTGAAACTATGGGATAAGGAAAGTCCGAGTTGTATTTGAACTTCCTCTGAAGTTGCTCCTTTAAATCAAAAGTATTCAGTTTAGGAATATTTGTACTTTTGTATGATCACACACACAAAAACTGACAGAACGAGAGCGAGCGAGATGTTCTGCGTGATATGCTTAGGCCCACAAGCATGTAAAATGCTTTTGCAATACATTCAATCATACACTCATAGCATGAACATGATTCTAACAACTTATATCTCTTGCATTCATAACCTCGTTGTGATGTTAAATATAAAGTAAAGTAATGCCCTTCAGCCCTTGTCATTTCTTTCAGCATAGCATCTCTTCCTCTTTCCTTTGTTTCTATCCAGCAGTTCTAAGATCCAAGTGTTGAAGGAGGATTTCAAATTTAATTTCATTATGAGGGTTGTTATCGTCACGAGAACAACGAACCAGTTTTCCATTGAAGTAGATAGCCAAGAAAAAGTTGTTGAAATCAAAAGGAAAATAGAACAAATCCTCGACGTCCCAGTGGCTTCACAAATACTTACTGTATCTGGCTGGGAGCTAGTGGATGGGTTAGACATGGAAGATTACCCCATCATCACAGACGGTACAGAAGTTGACCTCACAATCAAACCAGTGTCTCCACATCCTTCCCACTTTAATAAAATCCAGATCATAGTGAAATTTTCAGCACGACAGATCATCATAGATGTGGACAAGACAGACACGGTTCACAGTTTGAAGGAAAAGATTCACATCCTGGATAACACGCCGATAAGAAAAATGTCACTTTTCTTTTCAGGTGTGGAATTGGATGAAGATTTTCGGAACCTGAGTGAGTACGGCATAGATGAATTTTCTGAGATTGTTGTCTTCCTCAAGACCATGAATCGCTCAGGAGATGATCCTCCCTCGAGGAGGTTAAGTTTGGTGGTGCAAACTTCCTCTAGTTTACTTAATGCAGCCACAATTCCACTAGAAATGACTGATTCAAGTACTGTGAACGAGTTGAAGATAATTTTATTGAGCAGAAAAATTCTGCCACCTGATGATTATTTGTTCATACACAGGCAAAGGATAATGCGTGATAGCCGTAGCCTTAGGTGGCATGGGGTTGAGAATGGGGATTTCCTCTATGTCTTTAAAGGGACTGTTAGTCGCAGTGACACTTTCTGATACATTTCTCTAGTGGACAACCTGCTCTGATTTTGAACTAGAAAATGGTCTATATTTTAAATAAAATAACTTACTTTGTAACTTAATTATCAAAGGACAGCTGTCTGTGATGTTTGCCTCACATTTTTTAAGTGCTTGTTTGAAACAATTAGTTGTGTATTTATATATTGAATTCAGACACATTTATCAATACATCTTTTTATGCATTACTCTCTCCAAACGATAATGGACCATAATATACTATATTGATAACTAATTTATGTTTTTTAAAAAGCATTAATTAAAATCTATTTTTTTAAAAAAAATTACATCCTTTTAATTATATTTTCATTAAATATTTTATATACGTGTCTTGATAGTGGTAATTAAATTTTAAATGCATCTTTTTTTAAAAAAATAATAAATAAAATAAGGATATAAATAAAAAAATTAATTATAAAAATTACTTGGACGAGACTTCTAAAGGATATTTTACACTGTGAAAAGTATTGAATTATTAGCCTATAAATAATTATAAGGAGCAGCGTGTTTATATATACATATATAATAAAATTTAGAAAAAATAGCATCCAACAACTAGTGTATAAAATTTATATTACATAAGGACTAAATGATTTCAAAATAGCTTTGCAGTTATTTGGTCCTTTTGACATACTAATTCTATAAGCAAAAAGACTAAAATGTCCCTCAAGTAGTTAAAAAACAAAAGAAACCCCCATTGTCGCCGTTGCCGGCCGACGGACCACCGCCTACGGCAAGTTCGTCGAAGCCCCTGCTATCAGCGAGGTTGCTGGGGGCTAGTCGCCAAAGCTTTGACAGGGTTTTATTTGAGAAATAAACATTTTAGGTGGCTAAGGGAAAGTTTAATCCCATAACCCTTGATTACATAAAAAATTTAGTGACCACTAGACCACCAAGCCCTTTAATAACATATAGTAAAAAAATAAAAATAAGTAATAAACTAAGTACAAAGCCACTTTCATGTAATAACATAATGGTGTATTATTAATTTCTGAATGAAACTTGCTATTTTACAAATATTACTTGTTAATATGACATAGACAATTATAAATTGGGGACTTCAAAACTTCACTCATTTCACTTATTAAATGTCCCAATATATTATTGTCAATCACAAATATGTTGTTGTTAAAACAAAACAGATACTTATTAGTGAATTACTAACACATACAACTAAATCCTTTCTATCAATTTTCCTAATTTATTAAAACCATAATAGATTCTTGTTAATTTCAAATAAATTATTTTTATTTTACAAATGTTACTTATTAATCTAACATGGACAGTTACAAATTAGGGGCTTCTTAACTTCACTCATTTTACTTGTTAAATGTCTTAATGTATTGTTATCAATCACAAATAGGTTATTGTCAAAACAAAACAAATACTTGTTAGTGAATGACTAACACATACTACTAAACCCTTCATATCAATTTTTCTAACTTGTTAAACTCATAATAGATTCTTGTTAATTTTAAATGAATTGTTGTTACTTTATAAATATTACTTGTTAATCAAACATGGACAGTTACAAATTAGGGACTTCAAAACTTTACTCATTTTACTTGTTAAACGTCCTAATATATTGTTGTCAATCATAAATAGGTTGTTGTCAAAATTAAACGGGTACTAGTTAGTGAATGACTTGGGACATTTAAATTGGTGAGAAGTACAATGATATTGTTTATGTGCAATAAACAATATAGGCTCCAAAACAACATGTACTCTTAGTCATTGAACAAGGGGAACCAATTACATCATTGATATATAACACTATCTTTTGCAATCCAGACATTATTTGTGGGCCTATTGGGAAATTTTTGGCCTTCAACTTGGCCATCCAAATCAAGCTAAGGAACACGCAATGCAATAATTACAATGTATGTTATTGAGATTCAAGTAGATTGTACATAGAGTTGGAAAACAAGCAGGCCTGACCTTTATGGGCTCAGCTCTTAAGAGCTCAGGCCCTGAAGCCTAATTTTCCAAAATTCCTCTAAATTCTGAGGCCCGATTATTATGTAAAGGGCTTAGGGTCAAGCTTGTAAACCCGATTATAAAAAAAATTAATATTATAATTTAATTAGAATATTTTAAAATTAAACATAAAATAAAGCAAGGTAATTACTCTAGTTGGCCAAAAATAATAATTACTTTGATTAAATTTGGTAAGAATAAGAGCACCCATTTAAACAATTAAAGATCAAAGTATTAGCCCCCTAGCACCCATGGCAAGATAATAGTTGCAAGTGGAAAGCATATCATGAGAGGCGTGAGGGAGAGCAAATGCGATAGACATGAGGGGCGATAGGGCAAGCATATGTGAGAGGGAGAGCCGGGTGACTCTGAGTGAGGCAAGGCAGAGATCAAAGACAAGGCAGGGATGACCGACAGCTAACAGGAGAGCAGCGATATTGATTAAGGCAAAGATAAGCGACGGCCGACAAGAGAGCAGACACGTGACTATGAAATCTTCAATCTTCAAGTTGAGAGAGTAAGAGTTTTGATCCTAAATCCTTATTTAAATAGGGCCTGCAAGCCTGACCCTTATTCCCAACTCTAATTATATAAGATGTATATTATAAGATAATAAGTACCTTACAACTAGATTTGGTAAATGGGCGGGTTAGACTTAGGGCTCAAGCCTTGAAACCCAATTTTTCAAAATTCCTTCAAATCCTAAGGCCCGACCTTTATGTAAAGGGTTCAAGGCTAAGCTCGTAAGCCTAGTTACAAAAAAATAAAAAAATTAATATTATAATTTAATTAGAATATTTTAAATTCAAACATAAAATAAATCAAGGTAATTACTCTGATTAGGCAACAACAATAATTATTTTGGTTAAACTTGGTAAGAATTAGAGTACCCTTCTAAGACAATCAAATATCAAAGTATCGACCACCTAGCACCCACGGTAAAACAGTAGCTATAAGTGAAAAGTATATCGTGAGGGGTGCAATGGGAAAGAAGGAGAGTAGATGCGACAGATGTGAGGGGTGACAAGGCTAGCAGATTTAAGGGGGAGAGCTAAGTGACTCTAAGTAAGGCATAGATCAGTGATGAGGGATCGACATATGAGAGAGTGAGAGGTAGGGATGCTTAATGAGGCAAACATGAGTTATAAGGGACAGCGATGTCGAGTGAGGTAGAGACGAGCGTTAGCCAATGGGAGAGTAAATAAGTGACTATGAAATCTTCAATATTCAGGTTGAGAGAGTGAGAGTTGTGATAAAACGAAGAAGGTTGAGAGAGTGAGAGTCAAGAGATCAAAAATTAGAGAAGCTTAAGTTTTAGGTTTTTTCTCTGCACACTAATTTTTACATAGATCGAGAAAAAAAGACAATCGAGCTTGGAGGGCTATTCAGGCTCAAGCACCTTTTCCAAGGCTTATTAAGGCTAGGCTCAAAAGCTTAGTTACCTTAAAAACATCCCATTTTTCAAACTCAAATCTTTATTTAAATAAAACCTCTAGGTTTAACCCTTATTCCCAGCTCTGCTTACACTTAATAAATAGTCCATTTGTTTTTGTCATTAAAACGGTAATTGAAGGGGGAAAATTATCCCTTTCTCTTCCCCGTCAAATATTATAAATGATAATCTCAATTGATTTATTTGGCTCTGTATAGATGAGAAGGTAACACCTTATAGCTTTGTTTTTAACTTTTTATAACTAAATGAAATGGGATTAAATAAGTGTAAGTGAGCTTATCCTTTAAATTTTTGTTTTAATAGCACCATATATTCTCAATTCGTTTATTGTGCAAATTGCTCTCTCAACTTTTGAAAATGGTGCAGTCTAGCCCCTACTGTTAACAAAAGTTAATTTTGATCATTAATTAACTAAAAAATGACCAAAAGTGACCATAATAATTACAAAAAAAGACCAAATTTTGTTGTCATTGTCTTTAAGTTTTGGATCTTTTATTGTAAGTTTTGGTTATTTTCTATAATTTTTATGTTCTTTTCTATCATTTTATATTCAACTAACTGTCAAACTTAACTTTTTTTAGCAGCATGGATTAGATTGCATAGTTTTGAAAAGTTGAGAGAATAACTTGCATAATAAATAAGTTCATGATCTATGATATTACTAGATTTAAAGTTTATGAGATAATTTGTTTAGTTACCCATTAAATAAAGAAAACTTAAACTTGATTTTGATTATTACGTAAGAAAAGTTAAATTATTTCAATGACGACTGATGAGGTACTTTCTAATTTTAACAATGGGCATGTTAACAAGGGAAATTTTTTTGATTAAATGGAAATTACTAGAATAACATATAATATGGGTGACTTAGTGCAGAATTATGAACAGAGGTTACTCTGTTTGGCCCATTTTTTTAGTGGATCAATATTGGAAAAATATTTTTCAAGGACCATTGAGGCAATTTAATATTAAATAAGAGCTAAGAGATTCTAAAATATTATTACAGGATTAAGAGATTGATTTGAAAATAATTTTAAATAAAAAAATACTATAATAACTTGCTTAGTTACTCATTAAATAAAGAAAACTTAAATTTGATTTTGATTATTATGTAAGAAAAATGTTACCCATTAAATAAAGAAAACTTAAATTTGATTTTGATTATTATGTAAGAAAAGTAAAATTAGTTCAATGATGGTTAATGGTTGGTTGTCCTAGTGACAACATCACTTCCCTCTCTTAGAAGAGGTCGTGAATTTGAACCCAATGTTTGACGTGCTTGTGTGCGTGTGTCTCCCTTTCATGTGGAGAAAGGTTGGGTTACAGGTAATTTTGTTAAGAAAATTACTTCAATGATGAAATAGTTTCTAATTTTAATGACGGACATGTTAACTAGGGCAATTTGTTGATTAAATGGAAATTACTAGAATAACATGTAATATGGGTGACATGGTGTAGAACTATGAATAGAGATTGCTCTGTTTGACCCATTTTTTAGTGGATTGATATTGGAAAAATATTTTTCAAGGACCGCTAAGGTAATTTAATATCAAATAGGAACAAAAAGATTTTGAAATATTATTACAGGATTAGGGGATGATTTGAAAAAAAAAGATGGAAAAAAGACTATAATAAACCTACTTTTTTTAAAATTTATCAATTAGCAAATGATTTCTTTTTAAATATGAATTGGTATTTGTTAATTAATGAATGACTACTTGTTAAAATATGATATATATTTATCCCTTTCCACAGCCAAGTTTTTTTACATCCTTGAACTTATTAATTAGCGAATAATGTAACAGTCCTCACCCTATCTCACCGGGGGTCTTTTGGGCTGGAGCCTTAACTACTCACACAGCAGACCCAATGGTATTAGACTTAGCCTAAGTTTCTTAAGGTGGTAGAGGTTGAACGTTCGAGTTTAAAAAGGTTTTAAAAAAATTTTTTGGTGGGGTGAGAAATAACCCAAGTATTACCTTGGAAAAAGTTGGGCCCGTTGTGTGAATAGTTAAGACTCCAGTCAAAAAGACTCCCGGTGGGGTAGGGTGAGGACTATTATATAAAAGGCACCTTTTATGTAACAGCATGGCCACTAACCCCTTACGTTAGTAAATGTGGTGCTAACACATGTTCCCTTACGGGCCCACGTGTGACTTTTCTCATAGTAGTACATAGCTTATTTCTCACCCCACTAAAGAGGTCTTTTGGAACCTTCTCAAGAATCGAGCCCCCAACCTCTCCTATCTTAAGTAAAGTTATAGCTAACCCTGGTATCATTTAGTCAACTTGACCCAATGGTACCAGACTTAACCTCAACTTCTTTAAGGTGGTAGAGGTTGGAGGTTTGAGTTTGGGGAGGTTTCAAAAGACTCCCCTGAGAATGAGGTGAAGAATAACCACTGCACCACCAGTGGGAAAGCCAGCTTAGGCTCTTGAGGAGTGTTGGAGCCCAATCCAAAAGACCCTCGGTGGGGTGGGGTGTGGACTGTTACATACAAGCTGGTACGTGTTCCCTCACGGGCTCACGTGCGACTTTCCCTATAGTACTACACAGGTTATTTCTCACCTAGTAAAGAGGTCTTTTAGAGCCTTCTCAAAAATAGAGCTCTCAGCCTCTCCTACCTTAGTGAAATTCTAACCAACCTTGGTACCATTGGGTCAAGTGACCCAATGGTACCAAGGTTGGCTACAACTTCATTACGGTAGGAGAGGTTGGGGGCTCGATCTCTGAAAAGCTCCAAAAGACTTCTTTAGTGGTTGAGGAATAACCCATGTACTACTCCAAAAGCATAAGGGGCTCAGGGCCATGCTGTTACAAATAACTTATTATTAAATGTAAATGGATACTCATTAATTAACGAATGGCTACTTGTTGATACATGATCTACACTTATCCTTTTCCAAAACCAAGTTCTTTTAGATTCTTGAACTTGTCGGTTATCAAATAACTTCTTATTAAATGCAAATAGATATTTGTTAATTAATAAATAGTTACTTGTTGAAATATAAATTACACATGTCCCTTCCTATAACCAAGCTCTTCTAAATTATTAAACTTATCAATTAGTGAATGGTTACTTATCAAATGTTAATAGGTACTTGTTAATTAATTAATTATTACTTGTCAATTAAAAAAGACAAGTAAAGATATTATAGTATTTTCTGTTTAAAATTATTTTTAAATCATTTTCCTAAGTTTACAGTGATATTTCATAATTTTATTAATTTTTTATTGATATTAAGTACTCTATTGATTCTTGAATGATATTTTTTCAACCAAACCCTGCAAGAACAGGCCAAAAGGCTACCCTACTTTCCTCCACTTCTTTTTTTCTAATAAATTATTCATTTCAACAATGATAATACACTAATTCAAATACAACACACTTTTTAACAATTATTTCATGTAAGCTGGGTTTAATTTAAATCAAGTTTAAAATACTTGAATATATAAAAAATGTGTATGTACCAAAGGCCGATCATAAATACCTCATACTTTTAGGCTTCTTTGGAGCTGATTCGAATACTCAAATTGTTAAATTTTATTTTACTTTTTTTAGCTAATTTCAATTTCATCTTAAAAAAATTAAGATTTTTCAAGCAATATATCACTATAAGGCAGAGACCAAGCATTAAAAGAATAAAAATGAAAACTTATGAAGTAACCTCTTGTATTTATTTTTTTCTCAATATTTTTAAAAATATTCAAAACAAATTTTTACTAAAACACTAAAATTTCAATTAGGAGTGCGAAATGTGTGAACTAGAAATCTAGAAGAGAATTTATGAGTGCTAAGTGAAAATTGAAATGAAAATTAATTTTGTTTTATTAGTAATAAAAAATAGTTTGGGTATTCTCGACTACGTCCATTCAGATTTGGACCTTACCCATATTTTTTTTGAGTTTATTTGAAGTGTCTAAAATAAAAAAAATAAACTCTCAAGTCAAGTGATAAAATTTTTCTGACTTATTCAGGTTACCCCATCAAACTTGACCTGAGTTATCAGTTCTTCTCATAGATACATACTACTATTCATGCTTCTATCTATAACTCTTAAGGGCCAATATATATATATATATATATATATGTTTCTTTTTATTTAAAAATGTAAGGCATTTTTAATCAAATCTCACCCTTAATAAACTAGTTACCTACTTTTCAACTAACCCTATCTTTTCACATTTATCCCTATTAAACACCCTATAATATATATAAAGAAGTTATTAATAGGGGAACTTTTAAAAAAAAGATAATAATTACACCTCGAAAGACTAAAATACTTATATTTTTTAATATTTAACTTTTTAAAAAATACCTTATATTTTTAAACAAAAAGAATATACACATAACACTTTGATTGTTTCCACACAATAAAGTAATAGCCAAGTATATCATGACTTAATAGTCAAGACAAACTAAAGCTCTAATTAAATATATATCATTTAATTGAGCCAAGTTTTTTCTTGGGAGTCGAAAGGCTTACCCTTGAGTAGCTTAAACATATTTACTTCACAAATTTCAATTGCATTCAACAATAATATTATGGGAGAATGATAAAAAAATTTTAAAAGGATCAATTAATTTAAGTTAGATTTTAAGTTTCAAACTCTAAAAATTTACAATTCAATCTCTCAATTTTACAATTACCTTATGGTGAATTTGCAACGTATTTTTTAAATTTTAACATGGTTGAATAATAAAATTATTTTTTATTAAAATTTAAAATATAAGTTATAAATTCATCATAACGAAATTGTAAAATTAAAAGATTGAATTACAAATTTTTAAAATTTAACATTTAAAACCTAATTTAAATTAATCAACCATCTTAAAATCTCTCTAATATTCTCCCTAATATTATAGGTTAGTGTGTACATGGCCGTTGCTATGCTCACACCTCCTACAAGTTTTTTATTGTTTTACGTAAACAATTTTAATTTCATTGTCTTTTAAATCTTTCTTTTATATAACTATTATTAAAAATAGATTTTTTTTATCAATTAGTAAGCTGTTAATTATAATGTTCCTGTGCGATCTAGTTAACATTAAAAGGAAAAACTTTTAGCTTATAATCAATAAAGATTGATCTAGTTAATAAAAATTTAACTCATAACCTATAAGGGGATGGGTTCAAATCTTATTACTAATGTAAAGACCTTATTAATGGATAATTTGCAAATATCTCTATAAATATTTTTTGAGTTTGGAGGCATATTTTCACTTTGATAAGTCTTTAAAATCTAACTTACCTGAAATTTTATTTATTTTAAAAAAAAAGAGACCCGATAACTGGTAAAAGAAGGAACTTATATATATATATATATATATATATTTTTTTTTGCCAATGAAGACTTATATTTTTATACATCGTATATTTTAAAATAAAAATAAAAAATCATATGAGTGTGGTAAAAATAGAAAACTTTTCATAAAAAAACCATTTATTGTTAAGTATTATTTTCTTTTTTTTTTCTTCACGAAATTATTGTTAAGTAGTATAGAATCTGTTGAATATAAATAATTAGTATGTTATTCAAGAAATAAGACGCTAAATTAATTAATAGTAAAAAGAAAATATACGGTAACCGACTTGTTTGCGTGGATGAGAGTTGTTGTCTCCACCGCCAAATATAAAATGCCAAGACCCGCTCTCCTGAAGTATCATTCGGCACCGAATTGGATCACCGATTCATAGCCCTCGACGTTGTTGTTCTTGTTCTCAATCCATATCGTGCTTGATTAGAGGTAATTTCCCTTGCGTTTTTGTCATTAGTCTATAATTTTCTTATCAGGATTGTTAAATCACTTTCCCTCCAATACCCGTTAAAATGTTTTTAGTATAACTACGCTTGAGTAAATTTACATTTCTTTTTCCTGACCTTTTGTGAACTCCAACCGGGGTTAATTTTCTCCCGGATGTCTTTTCCCCGATCATTTAATTGTTGTAATTTGGTTGTTTATATTTTAACAGATCGTGGGGGATTTGATGAGTTTTCCTGTAGTATTCAAGATATATATATATATATATATATTATTACGAGGCATGGGGGTGGAGGATGTTTTAGCAATGCATGGTGCATCAGATGCTTACAGTTTGTATTGCTTTTTATCTCGAGTGTTATGGTTATTAATGTCCTTGTGGCTTGCACTCAGAATCTTGTGTTATATTTGTGATACGTTTATTCCTTTTTCGTCGCTTTGCTACTTCTCTTCCTTCGGGATCGAATGCGTTCTCTCTGATCAGTATGTGTAAATTGTTTATTTAATCAACTGTTATTCTATAGCCTTCTGTTTTCCCTTCGAAGGGGAATTTAGGAGTGGTTGGCAGGCTTATCCCAAATGTCGTGGATTGGTCTAGTGTCGATGAGTTATATAAATACGTTGCCAAAGAATTTGAACCCAACAGTTACTTATTTCTGTACATATAATTACGTATGACATGAACTTTATAGTATTTGGTACTTTTGAGAAACTCACTCGAGTTTTTCTTTGTCCTTGATAACCATAAAATCTTTAAACTCGTCCACCATTGTATCTTATAATTGACTCGTATGTTTTTCTTTGTGCTTTGCCTAATTCATGACAGACTGACAGTGCTCGGTGGTTGATTGAATTGGAAGGACTTTGTTGGTTACAAATTAACTACCTACCAAGGGCAACTTTCATGTCTGAATTCGACATAAAAATCCCAACTGCTTATGGTAGGCTGATTTGTTTTTTATCGTTTAATGGTATTTGAGGGTTTGATTTACCAGTCGCTCGCTTGGTTGGATGATTGGGCAGATCCCTTTGCTGAGGCAAATGCTGAGGATTCTGGAGCTGGGGCAAAAGAGTATGTTCATGTGCGTGTACAACAGCGTAATGGAAGGAAAAGCCTAACGACTGTTCAAGGATTGAAGAAAGAGTACAGCTATAGCAAGATACTCAAGGACCTTAAGAAAGAGTTTTGCTGTAATGGTACTGTCGTCCAGGACCCTGAGTTGGGACAGGTGGCTGTTCTGTTCTCCACTAATTTAAACCCCTTATTAGTGGAATTGACATGATTGGGCTATTTGATCATCATGTGGAATTTGTGCCCCTGACAACTGGTTGTTATAGCCTTGTTTTATTTTCAAAAATTTGTTCGTTGAGGCAATAATGCAGCGTTCCCAATATCTTTAAATTACGGGTTCTAGGATAAATGAAGTTCTAAATGTCGTCGTCTTGTGATGTAGGTCATACAACTTCAGGGAGATCAAAGAAAGAATGTGTCCACTTTCCTTGTGCAGGTAAATGATATGCTTACTGCACTGCTCTGATGTAATCGTTTTTTAGGGTATAGTTTTATGATCAAATGTCCCTCTGTGCCGTCACTAACAGGCTGGCATTGTGAAGAAGGAGCATATCAAGATTCATGGTTTCTAAGGCCTAAGCAGCTGTTGGATAATTCAGTTTTATGTTGCATATATAGCATTGGATTGCACTTAAATTGCTGTAGTTTACGCGGTTTGAGCTCATGCAGCCAGCGGCATTATACTTTTTTGTTATATGTAATCTTTTGATTTATGTATATGGTATGGGTTATATGTATTTTGGCAAGATAATAACCTGGAATAAATTAGGTAATTTTTCATCTCTGATGTCAGTCTATTGGCCTTTGAAATTCTCAATCCCCCAATGGCCAAGCATCGGCCAGTAAACATGACTTATCCCCAATAAATCACTATGGAAGCATGAAACAATCAAGTGGCTCCGTTGATCAAAGTGGCGTGGGTACTTTAGTGTCACCACAAAACCCTTTTCTACCCAACACGTACTAAAAGACAAGGGACTGTGCTGACCGATGCATAGGCGCGCCGCAATGGTCAAGTTCATCTATATTTGATCATCAATTCAATAAACGATGCTTTCTGCTTGGTTAACATTAGTGGTTCATCCCCACGACTTGTTTTAATTTGCCTTCATGTCTTCCTCAGTTTGCATTATGAGTTAGCAGAAATTCCTTACTAACATGGATAAATGTGGTTAAAGAAGAAATTTGGCGTGTGAGACGAACGGTGGCAGTAATTTGACAGAGAACATTAAGTCTCTGGTTTTGTTTGCTTAACGTAGGTGCTTCGACATGAGCGTAAAATTTTCAACTGCCGACTGTCATGGGTGTAATGATCAATTATCTGGCAAAAATACAAATATTAAGAATAGGCAAGTGCATGTTTGATTTTGAGCTAGCACACGTTCTAATCCATACTAGCACAAAAGTACAAAGAGAAGATGATAAGAGTGGAAAAGGCACATTTGCGTTTTCTCAACTATTAAAACAGAAGTGTATGAGAAGTTGATAGGTGGAGCTGGGAATATGAGGTGGATTATATAGGTTGGTCTGAATAATTGATCTGGGTCAAGTTAAAAAAAAAAGTGATCTAAATAAAAATGGGCTTTTATGGCCCAAGTTATATAATATGTGAACTATATGAGTTAATCCTAATGGATTGCAATTGACCTGTTTAATTCATTTTTTTTAAAAAAAATCAAAATTGAAAGAAAAGGGAATTTTTTTTTTAGGCATAAATTATATGAGGTATGACTTACTCAATCAGTTTAATTTATATGTTTTGTATAGATATTATGAATTAATATTTTAGTGTATTTAGAATGAAACATGAAAAAAAAATCATATTGGACGAAACTATCATTATGATTTATGAAGATTTCATCATATAACGGATTCAACTTTGACTATAACCTTGTTTGATATTGAGAAAGAGAGAAAGCTAGTGTAACTGTTGGGATGGATTTCTTTTATATTTTATCCCTCTGTTGAGACAAAATGGATTTCAATCATTTTATTAGACAATCTTTTTTATCACGCATCTCTTATTTATGTATTCCCGCCTATCTTTATTATATAAGGTTTGGTAAAAGAATTTTTTATCCTCGATGTAAGTCTCTTTGTGTAGTAGTTTATATAGTATTAATTGTTTTATTTTATTTGTTCCATCCCTTTCATGAAACTTGTGTTAATAATTCTCTATCCTCGAACTCGACCTGCAAGCTGCAGGGATTAATGGAAAAAACAATTGCAAGGGTTATTTTTTTCGATTATCCACAACTTTTTTTATTGGAGTTAATTCTGTTCCAAAAACTATCGGATATTAAATATAAGTACATCTTTTAATAAAAAATATAAATCTTAATCCATTTTGTTATAAGAGATGAGTTTTTTCTGTTAGACCTAACTTTTTTTGGTTACAAAGATTATTTTGTCTTTGCAAATTTGAGAATAAATCAAGTTGATATTTTTTTTCTGATATGAATTCTTGCTAGTTTGGGTTATAACTAGTATCTGCCCTGATGAAAATGGCATGCGCTGTCACGTTTTGGGCTGTCGTTAGATAGCCCATATTGACCACAGACCAACACAGCCTATAAGTGACTAACTTTTGTTGAACATTAGGCCAAAAATATACAAAAAGAAAAAACAATTGCAGTAGAATGATCATAGAACACGATATGCCACCTACCTAATGATTTTTCTAGTGTTCATATGAGATGATTTTAGGAATTAAATATTTTTAGTTCCCAAATAATACAACCTTAATATCAATAGATTGGAATCACCATATGCTTAATACCAGACAGCTAGCGCGGTGCTTATGCCCATCATATTTTATATACACACACACTACCCTAATTGTCAAATACAACATTATTTTATTTTAATCAACGTTTGAAATGTGTTAACAGTTATGAAATTAATTTGGCCTAGACAAAATCGTATTCGTGTCCATATTCAGTGATTCTTATGCCTAATAAAGATCACACAGGGAGATTCTTGATGTCAATTATTCATCATTCAATTTCTTCATAGCCCGAGGGGTAACAATGCCTGAATCCCTTTTCAGATCCAAATATTGTATTCCTTAAAAAATATCCGTCGTATTCTATGACTCAGTCAACAAACTAGAGGACAAACTATTCTGATTTTATTTCGATATACTCGAATCAAGCAATTTCTTATTCGTTTTAAAATACATAAACACCCTACATTCTTTGGGGGGGGGGGGTTTGGCCCTCAAAAGATGATTAAAACAAGGATAAGAATTTATTAAAAATACGTCACTGGCAATTTTTATAATTTAAAACTGTAATTTAATTTATTATAAATTTCATTGAATTTCTTTTGGTCTCGTAATGCACTGCGCAGATGAAACATGAAAGAATTAAATGGCATTCTTACCTTGAAAATATTTTGCAAGAAACATTATATCGATTATCCCAATTATTGATTGCAATAGTGTTACTCGTCATGTGTTAAAATTATTGCAATGTTGCTAAATGATGATTAACTCCACATAGAGAAAAAAGATTAAGACATTTTTGTCCATAAACTATCCATAATGGTATAACTAGCACACTAAAATTTAATAATATGAAAGAAAAATATACTTTCAAGTCCTTATAATTTAACTTAATTTTGAATTAGGTTCATGCAGTTTATCTTATTTTAATCAAACCCTTATAGTTTCATTTATTATACATATTGATCTCTTGAGATTAAAATTAATAATAAATTATTAAATTTTACAAAACAAAAAACCTCTTGAAGTTTGTAGAAAATTTAATTTAATACTTTTAACCAAAATAAAAAAATGATTTAATCCACTGTTTATATTTTTGTTATAATTTTTTTTTGAAAATTCTACATGTATAAAAAATATATTTAGAAGATAACCTAATTATATAAATTTTGAGTTATAAAAATTATGTAATTAATTTTAAAGTCATATAATCATTTATTAAAAATATACAAGTTCTCAATTTTGTTTTTAAAGAAAAAATGTAAAGATTTTAACTTTTAGAGGTTAAAAAATTTAATTGATTAAACTATAAAAGTTCAATTAAAACAAAATAAACTGTTAGGATTTAATTTAAAATTAAGTAAAAGTATAAAGACTTGCAGATATATTTTTCCTAATATGAAATAATTGACCCCCCCTCTCTCTACACTATTACATGACTTGTTAATTGGATATTTATTAATAAAAATTTGTATTAAATATTGTATTGAAATTCTATAATAACTTATGACATAACACGTAGCAAAAAATTTGCTAACCTAAAGAGATGAATAATGATAAAACCATGAAATTTAGGATTGAAAGAAATGAGACTTTAAAAAGTGGTGTACTATATTGATATCAGTCATCAAAGTAATTAATAATTAATAAATATCTTAATAATAAGTAATGATTATAAAATATTTTTTAAATATCAATAGAATAAATCTTAATAGATAATGTACATGAGTAATAGAATAAATCTTTATACTCAACAAAACAAAATGATAATATTGATTTGCTACAAGTATCATTTTATTGAAGACAAGTCTGAGGTACTGTAGGACATTACATGTGAACAGTTATCTCAGTTAAGATTCGAATATTGATCCGCTATGATACAAGGGATTTGACGCTTTCGCTAAACCCAACCCTGTTAGTATAAAATACTTTTTTCATTTTTATATATAAAATATTTTTTAAAAGCTTATATTGTCCTTATATATAAGAGATGTCACAATAATTTTAAGTAGCTGTACAATTTTACCTTTGTCTTGAAAAGAAAATAATATATTAATTGTGTGTTTTATCCACCATTATAATATTAATTGTGGCATTTATTAGGAGCAAAATTAAAAAAATGCTACAATTTTATGAGTTCACAAATAAATAATAATTTTTTATTAATATACAAAATTTAATTAAAAATATTTTATATATAAAAAGAATATAAGCAAAAGACTTGCTGGAGGGAACAAAGCACATTGTGCGCGTTGGAGTTGCTTCTGGGATGCAAACAACATAAGATGCAATCAAAATAATAAAATAAGAAATGAAGAAGCGGTCCAAATCCCAAAGGCGGAGAGATACACGTGATTAGCACGATGGGCATCGTTCCTCCCTCTTAATTAATTACGCGATGCGAGTGTTATTGTCTATGCTCCGTTCATTTTTGAATATTGAAGAATTTCAACAAACATATACAATTTAAGAAAATTAATTAATAGTTAATTCTACTCCCTCTGTCCCAAATTATAAAGTACTTTTAAAAGAGTTTCTCTGTCCCAAAATATAAAACATTTTGAATAAATTAATGTTTCATTAAATACTCCAATTTCAATATTACCATTTTCTCTCTATAATTAATTTTTATTACTTCTTTTTTTATTATATTAAATGATGGATATTTTAAAAAATTTATATTTTTATTTTTGAAAGATAAAATTGTTAGGTATATTTAATGAGATTTATTAATATGTGAGATTTTATCTAAAAGTATCTTATAATTGGGGATGGAGGGAATAATAGTTATACATGAAATTGAAATGTTTGGAGAACTAAAATGATCATGTAATTAATGTTTACCTTTTCTCTCTAATTTAATGATATCATCCAATTATGAGGGATAGTTTAAGAAAAATACACAATTAATACTTCTTAAAATTTATAATTTTGCTTAGAATAAAAAATATATGATAGTTTTTCTTATAATTGAAATTGAGGGAGTATATGTTATGAAGAGTAAAGTATAAATTTAATCATTAATTATTTTTTGAGAAACACTAGGTAACCTATA